ATTATTATTATTATTATGAAAAATCGCAATACTTTAATACAGCTTCAATATAATGAGTCCAATCCAGAAAAATAGAAATATTTTAATGACTACTAAAATAGGGGTTCTAAAAGGCATTGTGAGGTCAACTCTTGTATACGGCGGTAAATGCTGGACAATTACTAAACATAGTGAAAACAAAATAGAAGCAACAAAAATGTGGTTTCTTAGGGGGCTTTTAGGCGTTCCATGGACAGGAGAGAAATCAAATGAGAAAATATTGAAAGAAGCCCATTGGGGCTGCCCTTTAATAAGAGCAATAAGAAAGCAACAAAAGCATAATTTTAGGCCACCTGACTTAACACAAAGCCTTTGAATATCTTGCTGTCATTGGAGAAATAAAAGGAAAACGAGGCAGGGGTAGACTCAGAGAAACTTATCTAGAGAACCTGAACAGACGCATGGCCAGGAAACACAAGAGTAGAATAGGATTTCTCTGAGCATCCGAGCAGACACGTGAATGAAGAACCATGATCGCCAACGTCTGTTTTAAAACCTGACACTTTATGATGATGATAATATTATTTATTAATTTGGTTATTTTAAAAGTCTCTCCTGTTACATAGACCACTTAATGAACAATGTGTGATCAAATTCAATAAAATTCACAAATCATAAAATCACTTTGGAGGTTAGTGGGTGCTCGGTGTCATCTGGTCCTTCTACGTCTTTTCTTCAAAGTTATTGTTATCCTAATCTGATCTTGGTTATCCGGCTTACTCACATTCCACTACAACTCAACAACAACAGCAACAACAACAACAGCAACAACAACAACAGCAACAACAACAACAGCAACAACACAACAGCAACAACAACAACAGCAACAACAGCAACAGCAGCAACAGCAACAGCAACAGCAACAGCAACAGCAACAGCAACAGCAACAGCAACAACAACAACAATTTTTTTTCTCCAAGGGAGGCGGTGGCCCTGGCGAAGAGTTTCGCTCTTCGGAGCTCCAAACATTTCGAACGGATAGGCTACCACACACAACAACAACGAAAACAACTACTACTACTACTACTACTACTACTACTACTACTACTACTACT